CACTGAAAGGAGTACCAAAGAAGTACATTAACCTTCTAAAGGCTCTCTACTCGGACACAACTAGTAGAGTGAGAGCTTATGGCGAGCTGTCATCAGAACCGATTACCTCAAGTGGTGTTGGTCAGGGCTGTCCACTCTCTCCATTCTTGTTCAACTTTGTCGTGGACGTACTTCTAGAGATAACACTTTCCTCGTCTAGATTTCCAGGGGTTGAACTTCTACCGGGAGATTCACTTGTTGACTTAGAATATGCCGATGACATAGTTTTATTTGGTGAAGACGCTGACAAAATGCAGAGTCTTATGACCACTCTAAGCAACACTGCAAGCATGTTCGGGATGCGATGCTCCCCCTTGAAATGCGAAATATTGCTTCAGAATTGGGTTGCATTGACACCCGAACTAATGATAGGGAGTGAAGTAGTTGAGTGTGTCGACCGCTTCACTTATCTTGGAAGTCTGATCAGCCATTGTGGTCTGGTGTGTGACAAAATCTCAGCACGGATACAGAAGGCTCGACTAGCTTGCTTTTGCCAACTTGCGTCATTTACGGCATAGGCGAGATATCCGTCTATGAACCAAAGAACGGGTTTACTGTGCAGCAGTTCGTTCCGTCCTACTTTATGGCAGTGAAACATGGCCGGTAAGAGTAGAGGACATCCGTAGGTTACTAGTATTTGATCATAGGTGTCTTCGAAATTTTGCTCGTATATTCTGGGACCATCGAGTAAGTAGTGCAGTTGTTAGGAAACGGATACTAGGTAAGGATGGCAAATCGATTGATGAAGTGGTGAAACTTCATCAATTGAGATGGCTGGGACACGTGTTACGTATGCCCAACCACCGACTGCCTCGACGAGCGATGTTCAGTGGTATAGGAGTAGGTGCCCCCAAATGCCCTGGTACGGCCGAGAGTGGGAAGAGTCCGCTCTCCCTCTCCAAATGCTCTCACATGGCCACGCGTATATAGCCTCTGCCAGGGAAGTCCTACTCACTGCCTTCTCGTGGTGGGGGTGTTGTTTACGAAATTGAGAGGACGAAAAGCGAATGTCTGGCGCTTTAACCGGATTCCAAACCAATGGTGCACATGGGCTCCAGTATCCTGCGGGAACAAATGGCGTATGAACCAATCGTCGGTCACCGGCTTCCATGAGACTGCATCTCCTTACGATGCTCCACTGCCTTGTGGATCAAACCTTCAGGTCGAAGACTTGGGGAGTGGCCCCCTATGAAAACCACCTGCTCCGGTTTGGGCACCTGGGCAGTATCACAGCCCTCACACATATCGGATGAGATTTGTGTGGCGCATATGTATTTGGTGCCTCCTTGTACCAATATCTATGTGTTAAAATAGATAAATAAATAAGTAGGAGTAGGTTGGAAAAAAGCTAGGGGCGGCCAGACCAAAACATGGCACAAGTCCATGAAGTCACTGACAAGTGGACTGAGTCATGTTGGTAGGTGTAGACTACCCGGTTGGGGACCGCGAAATGATAGCAACCGATGGTTAGAGACCCTGAATGACATGGCTCAAAATCGTTTGCAATGGCGCAAATGCATACACTCTTTGTGTTCTCCCAAATTTTGATATTATTCCTCCTTGTCTCGTTTTTTTTTTGTTTTCCCAAATTTATTCCACTGTATTATACTCTTGAAATAACATTTCCAAACACTAATCTTCCCGATTACTGCTTATACTCTTACTACCTCTACCACTAAGGGATTTGAATCGACCACTGCATCTATGTTCTAATGTGGTGTGGCAAGTCGATTTGATGTACGTACGAAGTTCTACGTTGTTACTGACTGACTGACTGATATGAGAAAGTTTTTCACCATTTGGCAGTCGTTTAAGTCGTTATTAGGGAAAAAACATCCAGGAACTTTTGCAATTTCGCTGAATGCCAAAGTTCCATCATTCTCGTCCTCCGCGTATTAGTTTATGGCGTTTAATGTCCTAATCTCTGTAGCTTCGTAGGGAAATTCTACGAAGTAGTAAACCAATTATACTAGGTTTTTTTTCGAGAGCACTTCAGTGACCTGAATGATTTATCCATTGGGCAATTTTTCAGTAATTGACTTTGTAGAATTCCATACATTATCCATTTACCAGGAACCATCTGTAAATCCTCATTTTTATATCAATGAAGCAGAATCTGTTGTAGATTCCTTGGAAAATAAGATATTTATTAACTTTTTGACATTAGTCACGGCATAGTAGGTTACTACTCAATCTTACTTAACATCGCGACTCCAACCTCGTAATCCTCAATAAGAATGAATATGCATTTGAACAGAATAGATGACGAAAGAGGCTATATGGTTGTGGCTTGTTGTTGTTCTTTCATAGAGTTTCTGTGTTCATCAGCTTCTTTGCCTTCAAAAGGAAGGTAAAGTGAAAGCTCCCAAAATACAACTAAAATGAGTTTTCTCTATTATATTTCGGAACCTCATTAGAAGGCCTATATATTTATTTATTTATTTGAACAAATAAATATTGGTACAAGAGAGCGCCAATATATATGCGCCACACAAAACAATGAGAATGCGAAGAGAAATAAAAAAAACTAAGGAGCGCAAAAGAAAAAGAGAACAATAACGAAGAGATTGGTGTAAGGTAATGTGGTAGTAACGAGGTACAATCAGAAGAAATCTTTCAGGTAAGGGAGACAACCACTTTTTATGAAGAAAGTAAAAGAAGGTTACAGCAGGATCGCCACTGGCTTCTATTCTGAGCCATATCTGATAACGTCTCTAGCCACTGTGTAGCACCATCTCTCGGACCCCAACCAGGGAGCCGTGAAGGACCGACAGAAGCCAGTCCTTTGCAGCTTTCTTTCATGCCACGACACCATGTCATGCACTGACCACCTCTCCGCTTCTTCCAACCAGTCCCAGATCCGACCTTTTACAGCCAGACTAACATCACGAAGGCGCCAAAGGTGGCCCAGATTGGCATAAGCCGCTCTGGCTTTCACTATTCGTGCATCGATCTCATCACTCACACCCCCACCAGCACTTATGCAGCTACCCAGATACACGAACTTCTCGACTACGTCTATCTGCTCACCATCCAGGGTAAGTACAGGATTGGAATCCTGCCAGTCTTGTAGAAGTACTTTGCACTTGGAAGGTGCAAAGCACATACCATACCTACGGACACTGATTGTCAACTGATTAAGTGCGGATTGCATGCCTTGGGCATTATCGCACAGTAAGACAATATCGTCTGCATACTCAAGGTCGAGAAGTCTTTCTCCAGGCAACAGATCCACACCACCATTACTTACATTCATCAGAGCTGTTTCTACCATGTCATCGATGGCAAAGTTGGAGAGGAATGGTGAGATTGGGCAACCCTGCCTAACCCCACTGCTCGAATGGAACAATGGAGAAAGGTGGTTGTATGCCCTCACTCTGCCTGAGGTGTTTGTATATATATATATATATTCATTAATATGGGGGGCATGCTTACTATTTCACAAACTTGGGAGTAGATGAGAGTATTAATTAAGTTAATATTCGGGTACTTAAGTAGTGTGCAATCAGACTGCACTCTGGTCACATCAATTCCAGCTGGTGTACCAATGTAGCCTCTTTTTTATCTTGAAATTGATTACGCTGAAGAATTGCTTGGTATTTGTTTGAGCTATCTAAAGACGGAAGACTATTCCCTTTCTTTGATAAATAATTGTGTATTTTACCTAATACCAAAAACGAATTTTTAATCTTGGAATTAGCGGTTTATATAGCAATTCTTCATGCAGTTTTACACGATTTAGACATTTGAAAGTTCTGTCTGACGTGAGAACAATCCGTAGATTCGTATCCTGCTAGATAGCCAGTTCTTAGTTACTAACTGTAACTTTCTTTCTTACTTAGTATCGACTGCACAATTCCCCCTAACTTCCATACAAAAAAGATCATAAACTTTAGTGTAGCACTAAGTACTTAGCCTTGAACTATTTTATTCAAGTTTATATAGCAGATTGGCAAATGTTTATAACTTTATGAATGGGTACATATTTGCTTTTATAGCTGATTATAAGGCCAGCTATATGGTCAGCCGATTTTGTCGTCTAACGTTGGGATACTTCAATGTCTCATCTAAATATTTTTCTGCAGTATTTCTACTTTCTTGTCAGGCTAGAAGATGGTACTTCATAATCACCCCCACTGTTAATCTTCCGTAATGCATGGGTTCTCGTCTCAATGCTTCCCGATAAACCTAGCAAGCTATATTTCTATGTTGAAGTGTCGTAGTTGTTTTTCGATAGGTCAACAAGGTAGGAGGCTTCGCCAATTTTTCAGGGTGAAGTCCTTCGTAAATACTGTAGAAAGGTTCTGAATAGCACATGGGCTATTCACTCTAGTGTTTTTTTTTTAAAAAAAACAATATATTTGATAGTTCAAAGTAATTATTCCTTTTAGTAAGTTTGGACGAAATATATCAGAACTGTGTGGTATATTAGCCCAATACTTTTCAAACAATCCGATTACGTATATACTTGTTAAAAGCATATATATATAAATGCAAAAGGTAGACTAGACAAATGAAGAGTGAAAGCAAACAAAGATAATAAAGAAAATGGTGTGAAACTTACCATTTTGGATAATATACTAATACTACCAGGTTATGTTTGAGGTGAGAACAAACTGTATTGTTTACTTAGATCTATGTCTGGAAGATTTTTACGGGAATCGGATTTTATAAAATTAGGTTCTAGTGATTGATTTAGTCCTTTGAAAGTTTCAAGTTCTCTGTGTTGGAATACTTTCAAGCTTTTCCTAACCAAGTAGATATGGTTTGCTCGATTTAACACTTAATGCATTTTATAGTGATAATAATAATAACTGGATATTGGGAGTCAAGAACAGATGTGAAACCTCACGAAATTTTCTTCGTAATGATGTATTACTTTTTGATACTTGATTTGAAAACGTGTATTTCTATCAACCCTTATTTCTCTTCAGCAAATAGTATTTGAACTTAACCGTGGTATGTCAGGTCTTGATATGTAAGTCAGTCTCTTCAGAATTATTTTTGCTACATTCAAGCCCAGCGGATTTGTTTAAAAAGTTGGTTAGTGTTCTAACCACTTGGCTAAAGACATTAGATGGTGAGTATTGTGTGTATTTCTGGCTAATTTTTTATAAACATATTAGAATTTACTAAGAAAGAAGAAGAGTTCGTTAATACTTCACGAAATTTACGAAATCCTAGTGTCGATCCCAAATACTGGGCTACAACAAGTGAATTAACGTACTCAGTGGGGAATATATGCGAATGTTATGTATATATTTCTAATCTTAATATTTATATCTCAAACTTAGAAAAACACAAACCAACAATCACTCCTGGAACCTTTGAAAAAGTAAGGGTAATTTCCGAATGTATTTTCTAGAATTTGTGGCATACTACCCTCTATAAACGACATTTTTGTTGAGAGGGAAGAAATTCTAAAAGAAATCAACCGGAAATGTCGAAAAATTCGGAAACCAGAACTCCCAGAGAATGGAAATGAAATTTCAGGAAGGAATAAAAAGGTAACACCAATTTTACTGCTTATATCTCCAGATTTCACAATCAGTTGATTCGTTAACAAGTCGTTTACACGCTATTGAATACATAATAAACGTCAATTTGGTAGATCTCACTTCAACGTTAGAAGTGTTTTTATCGTCATCCTTCCATGTAAGTATCTAATTCATTTTCTCATCCCTTTCACCAGCACTGATAATTTATTTCAAAGAAAGAATATTGTTAGAACGTTATGTTTAGTGAAACAATGACTAAATGCATTTTTATGTACCGGCCACGTATTTTATCTGAAGCCAAACAAATAGTACACAGTTATTTAGACCAGATGAAGTAAGTCAGGGTTCAGACCTCCGGCCAACATATATTTAATATATTAAATTTTAAAAGGTGAACAGAAGTCGCTTATTTTTGTTGGCTATCAGTAAAACGTTGTCTTTCTGTATGTTTAGATTTAATTTCAGAACGTTCTGTAAATGAATTATGTATGACCAGCAAAATATTGCGAAATTATTGATTTCTTAGATGAGAACACTCCGTTTTTATGATAGTGAAGGGTTTCATCGAATAATCAAAAATATTTAGTTGCTCACCTCATAATCATAATTCACTGTGTTGAGTGTTAATAGAGGAACTGAAGGTAGTTTAAGGAGGGAAATAACCGATTATCATAGTTTGGCAGATAAAAATATGATTGCATTGGTGGAATAGATAATGTCATGAAGAAAAAATTTATTTGCTGAACCGCCTTAAATAGTTCTATGTAAATTTTGCTACTGTTTAGATTCAACAGAATCGTAAAATTAAAACCTCCGTTATTCCTGGTGAACCAATACATCCAATGTATTCTGCACATCGAGTTTACTGACAAGAATAGAAATCGATGGGTTGTATCTGAATATCATGTTAGTTGAAGCTCATAAAATTAAGTGATGAGTACTTTTTCGGCTTCAAATTGTTTTAATGCTTTTTCTGTTAAACTAGCCTAAATCTGTTAACTTAATACTTTTAAAACTATACAAATATCTGGTCGTGTTTTGTATTTGAACCTCCATATGAGAAGTCAGTCATTTATTGAGTACCTTAGTACAAAACTAATAAAGTAAGGAAGATTGGTTCATCGAAGAGTTCATTACGGCAAACTCATTTTTGAAGCTATACTGTCTCAAATATATACTTATTAATCAAAATGATAATTAATAACAATAATAGTGATAAAAATCTGATAAACTTTGTATCAGTGAAGTTCAATAGGTAAATGCAGTAAAACGTTATTTTTTCTGCAGACCTTTTAACCCCAATTGATTTGTCTCTATTTCTATACTTTTCCTAATTACAGTTCATCTAAATTTCAAACTTTCCGTCTTATCACTTGGAACCTTCCCTTTCCAATTATAATTTCCCTATTGATCCTCATGTTCAATACTCAACCTCTCAACAACAACATTACTATCAGATACCTTAATTAAAATAATATGTTTATGCCTTCATTTGTTTTACGTCACTATTACCATGTTTAGAAGAATTTAATTATCAATCATACTGTTATTATAATCATTTTGTGAAATAAGTATTTATTTGTGACTGTACAGCTTTGAATATGAATTCGCTGTAAAGAGAAATTTCCGAACCAATCTTTTTTTGTCTCAATGTGTATATTACGTTTACAAAATTAATACACTAAAAGAAATTATAGTTTAAAATGATTATTTTATTAGTGACACACTCTTTAAATAAAATAACCTGATCAATGTTTTTTATAGTCTAGAAATAGGTAGTATCTTCTTATTTCAAATTAAAATCAGAAATTATCGAAATCCAAACAATCGTATTGAATAGTTTGGTACTTATATATGACAAAAAGTTTTACATGTTTGGAATATAAAAAATCTCCCATGAAAATATCGTAATAACATTGTGAAAAATAAATATACCATGGGTAGTATAATCGACTAAGAAATGAACAGAAATAATATTTGACAATATAAACAGTGCATTTGAGAAATACAGTTTAAGAAACCCACTCAGTTAAGGTAGTTTATATATATATATATATACCACATTTACGCACTTTTCCACTCAGTCCCAGTATCGACAAAGAGTGTGGCAGTCGGTGGGGTGACATTCATAAAACATAGCTAAGTCACCGAAGTCAGTGTTTTAAGCTGGTGACACTGATTGAATTGTCATCACCGTCTGAATACACACTACTGGGCCCATGTATTACTAACACAATGTTGTCACTAAATGTGAAAAGCAATAATCGAACACAAGGTTGCCGAATTTCTTGAACTTGGAGGAGCCAGGTTTTACATTGATAAACTAAAACTACTCTGATTAACACACTGTAAACCAGAATTTTTACAACTAAAATAACATTACATCAACGCCAAAGTTAACTCACAATGTCATAAACTGTTCTGGTTCACGCTGTACCTACATGCGCGAACTTTACAAACATTTCTAATGGTTCACTATAAAAAGTGTACTTGCAGGCTTCTATAAGTCTTGTGGGTTTACTCTAGATTTTGAAGATTCATATACTCTGTACCTAAGGACACTGATTCCCTACTAATTATGATCAAGTTGGGCAGCGTGCGTATCATCATACAGTGAGATGATGTTCACATAATCAGAGTCGAAGTCTACATTATGTATCTTTTGTTTTGAGTTATAGTTTGACTGATGTTAGGAAGATACATATCGCCGGTTTCTAACTTTAAATGAGTATAGTGGTAGCATGCATGTTACCTACATCACTTGACAGCGATAAGCTCAAACCTGTGTAGAATTTGCATTGATCATTTCTAACTCAAAATAAAGTGAAATACCTGTCCAGTATTCCCTGATTTTCAATTATTCTCTAGATTGTATTGGTTCAAGCGGTAGAATAGTTTTGGATTTAATATGACTCATTTTTCACAACAGGTAGATAATATCAGTATTAGAAATCGACAAGTGCGCAACAAGTCTTACTTAATGCCGATCGAGTGATATCGACCAACTTGCAGCATTGTGATATCGTATGCATGTTGAGTTGCACAAGATTTCGAGTCACGTAGACTAGTGACCACGCTGCAACCTGATCGTAAGAATTAGGTTAGCACTAAGAACTTATTGGTCGACCAATTGTTAACATATGCATTCTTTTGTTAGACTTATTTTCACAGTTATTATTACCTCAAATGTTTTTTTCGAATACATAAATACTAGGCTCATCTCGATTGCACTTACGAATTTTTCCAAAAAGCATCGATAGTCAATCAACAAATGTCAGATTTATTGAATACTGGTGAAAGTGAACTCAATCTGTTAGATAAAAAAATGGACGAGGATATGAACTCCATATACAAGCTTTTACATCTGAAATCTGAAAAATAATCAATTCTTGATTTGTTGACATGTTGGTTCATCTTCATCTTGTTCACTTCTATTTTCCTCAGAATTTTATTGGTATGATGCAATCTAATTTGGGTTTTTTTATTAAATACAATTATTTTTAAAGAGGTAGATTGATTTCTGCTTCCTAACTTACCTCACTAATGTTCTAACTGCAGTTTTCTTTTAAATTGATGAAAAACCACACAACATATGAGTTTTGTTAACTTGTTGAACAGACTAGTTCAGATTACTACTTCAAATGGACATGGATAATAATCGATTATCCGATATCCTGAACACCTGATTTTCTTATTTACTTGGTAATCAGGTTATGTGATATATTACTTACGCCTGTTACCCCTCATGGATGAGCATAGGCCACCCACCAGGACTTCCCGTCAAACTCCGTCCCGAGTAATCCTTCCCAGTTGCTATTCTTTTTCATATCTGCTTCCAATTCTCGGAGCAGTGTGTTCTTTGGCCTCCCTCTTTTTCGTTCCTCTTCAGGATTCCAAGTTGGCGCTTGCCTTGTGGTGCAGTCTGATGATTTCCACAATGTGTGTCATAACCACGTCCAACGTCTTTTCCTAGCTTCCTGTTCAGCCGGTAGCTAGTTTGTTCTCTCGCACAGTAGGTTGTTGCAGATGGTATCCGGCCGACAGACATTCAGTATCTTACGTAGACAATTGTCTATAAATACTTGTGCATTTTTGATAATGGTTTCAACTCCGTACAGTAGAACTATCTCTACTTTTGTAATGAAGATTCTGACTTTGATATTGACTGGCATTCGTTTTGAGTTCCATATGTTCTTCAACTGTATGAATATTGTTCTCACTGTGCTAATCATTGCCTTTATGTTCTCATCGGATCCTCCTTGTTCATCGATGATGCTGTCCAGATGGGTACGTGAAAGTTTCCACCTCTTCCAGAGTTTCTCCATCAAGTGTGCTTGGGTTGGCGTTCTACGAGTTGTGTTTGGGGATGTTGCTTTTTCCGTCGTGTATGTTAAGACCTACTGCTACTACACTTTGTCGCGACCTGCATTTTTTGATGTATGGTGACGAGTTCCGTTCAACGATTATCTGTAGCATCGCGATTTGGTATGTGCACGACCGGTCCTTACGGAATTCAGCCTGTTGATATTGAAGTTGGGCGTCTATTGAGTCATCCATCCGGTTTAGCAACACCCTGTTAAAAACCTTTCGTGGTACTGATAGTAATGTGATGCCTATATAGTTCTCACATTTGCTCAGATCCCCTTTTCTTGGTGAGGTACCCTTCTTTCCAGTCTGTCGTCACTTGTTCCTCCTCTAAAATCTTCCTGAATAGAACATGGAACATGATTGCAGTTACTTCTATGTCTGACTTGAGTGATTTGGCTGGTATATTGTCAGGTCTTGCTGCTTCCCTACTCTTGATTTGTCAGATGACCCTGCTGATTTCGTTCGCTGATCGAGTGACATCCCTAGGAAGGTCTGTGTGTGCTGTTTTGACGTGTGGTGGATTCAATGGAGCTGGTTTATTCAAGAGTTCTTCGAAGTGTTCCACTTTTCTGTTCCTCTGTTCTTGGATTTCAGTAATTGGCTTGCCTTCTTTTTCGCTGACCGGTCTCTCTTGTTTACTATGTTTCCCTACCAGTCTCTTCATTGTGTCATTTAGCTGTTTGGTATTCCCTTCTGTTGCAGCGTTTTCCGCTGTCGTTCCTAGGTCATCCACGTATTTCTGTTTGGCGACTCTAGTGCTCATCTTCACTTGCTTGTTGCTTCTGTGTATTCGGCCTGCGCCTCGCCTTTCTTTGTTGTTTTCCGACTGTTGTTGATTGTTGTTTTCTTGATTACTGGTCCAGGGATTCCATAGAGACCCGCTGCTTATGATGATGCTTGTTGCGGTCCAGAACCTCCTGACATGTTGAAGTTATTGTTCCTATGATCCCTTCCTAGTTGCCCTCCATAGTGGTTTCTTCTTCTTTGAGTGGACCTTGTAAGGCTTGGAACCTGTTGTTGAGAGTTGTCTTGAATTCGTCGGGCTTGTTACTATCTCGAATGAAGGCTGTATTGAACCTTTATAATACTGTTCCCCCGGTTGTCCAGTGTTTCTTTAGCTTCAGTTTCATCTTGGTCACAACTAGGTGGTGGTCTGAAGCTCTGTCACCTCCTCTCCTGGTTCTCGCATCTCCCATTGTCCTTCTGAATTTTTATTGATACAAAAATGACCAGTCTGGTTATCTGTGGTGTGATCCGGTGATATCCATGTAGCTTTGTGTGGAAATATTGTACCGCCTATAACCAATTTGTTCGTAATGAAGATTATGACTTTGATATTCATTGGCAGTCGTTTTGAGTTCTATATGTCCTTCAACTGTAGTACTGTGCCTGCTTTATCAGTCCTTGCATTTACATTGTCATCGAATCCTCCTTGTCCATCGATGATGCTGCTCAGATGGGTGCGTGAATGTTTTTACCTCTTTCAGAGTTTACTCGTCAAGTGTGGTTGGATCGGTATTCTCCCTGTTGTATTTGAGGATCTTGGTTTTCCTCTTGTGTATTTTGAGGCCTACCGCTGATACACTAATTATCTGTACTGCATTTTTTCGTGTGTATCGGACAGAAGAGCTAGATCATCTGCGAAGTTCAAATCGTCTAGTTGCATCCAACCTGTACATTTTATTCCGTGCTTCCTGTCAAATGTCATAATATATATAATATAGTCAATTACCAGAGGAAAGAGGAAGGGCAAGAGTAAGCAGCCGTCTGACCCGCGTCCTCACTTGGAATACTTCTATCAGCTGTCCTCCAATCACTGTAGGCCGTCGTATGAATCTCTCATGTTGACGAATGTGATATATGTATGACTTTATTTGAAAGTAGTCAATATATTAACACTATAGTATTGAAAACGAAGTTTGTTTATATTAATGAACTCGAAATCTTAAGTAATCTCACCACTGAGACTGATTACGTACGTATGTCTAATGACCGTTGTCACCGCCTAGGCTGAAATCCTCAGTTACTCAAACCCGTTAGCATTTACATAGGAGTGGACGGGAAATAAATAGTCGACATTTAAAAATTCGGACCTAATCATACATTAAATTCGTACAATATGGACTCTCAGTAGTTGGGAAGCCTATCGTTCAGACACTACAGTACTGAATTTTTACTACGCCTACGGAAGCTGAGTTTGCGCACTATTTCAGCTATCTCGACTTAGCAAAGGAACTACAGCAGTTTACGTACGAAATGTCGACTGATTGACAAACCTTAGCAGTATAAACTAGTTCGATAATTGATGTTTTATTTTTCACAAAATAATATATATTACACATCACGAAATCCAGGGACTTACACGACACAAAATGAAACGCGTGCGAAAACGTTATCTAGACACACCAGTAAATTATTCTGCACCATTAACAGGTAGGTCCCAGGAGTGTATACAATGCTTGGGAGCATTTTTATTTATGACCTGTGACGAATAATCCGGACGATGACTACGTGAAGCAAACGTTTTATCGACTAATGTGGCGAACGAAACTCAAGACATAAACGACTTGGTGGTCCGGCGAATGTGGAGGCAAAAGACAACACAGATTAATATGAAAATCAACGTTCAGTGTACGATGATAGTATCTGGTGACAGCGTACCTGCGATATCACGGAAGTAGATCGAGGCGTCTTAGTTCGTCTTCCCAGGGAGGATCATAGTCGTTTTCCTGTAACGACACCTTTAGGAGTTTTGCAGCTTGTCAACAGCCACATACAAAACCTATCCCCACAGATCACCAATAACTGCTCCCTCGACGGTTTCACAACATATCACCAATGGGCTTACACATCAAGTTCGAAACCTCACGAACGTCAGTCTGTGACAGTGGGTAGGGAAGGCGAGCGGTCCTTACCGAGAACCTACTGACACACATAAATTAGGAAACTTCGTGTAAAACTGAGGCTGGTTTCCGCATCAAACAGTTGCGAAGGAGAGAACTAATTATTCCTACTTGGCCTCACAACTAAGATGGTTGGCTTTGTTATACGCTTTCACCCTGTTACACAGAACGGGAGGACAATGACCATCTTGCAGCCAAACTCTTCATGAGTCACGTTGAGTAGTAAGGAAGCACCAACACATTTGACAGAACATGAAATACACACCTATGATTTTACCCACCCATATGGAGTACCAACGCGTTGCCCTCGTGTCGGACTGTGACACGACTAGGTTTTAAGTCACGACAGACACTTAACTTGACGGGAAAGATACACTAAATGCACTGTCATCCACTGCTCGGACCTAATTGCACATCACCTCGTACCATATAACCGACGTAGAGTTGCAGCATAGCAGGAACCGATGATTAAAGTGTTTGTTGAGAAGTAACGAGTACCCGATTATAATTGTATTTAGTACAACCTGTGCGGTTTACCCATAGTACTTTTAATGTACAAACACCTGACGTTTTGCCAATTCTTCTTCAATAGCGTTACAAGGAAGTTTATTGACAAGTTGATATTTTGAGCCAGCTCCTCAGGAGTCATTTTTACGTGGCCAACAGCGACATTCAGGCAGAGAACCTTCTTCATCTGGAATTTGACTGTAGCTTTTATTTCGTCAACTTTATTCATTAGTGGCTCATTGTGTGTGACTGCACTTGGAAACTTTCCGTACTTGGTTAGGATTGGAACCACTGTCCTTGTAAACTGACGAATGATGGTTTCACTAGCGACAAAAGCGTGATAACTCTTGGCTGCGAACATTAGTGCATAATGTCAACTTACCGAATTTTTTCAACGGCTTTTTCTCTTTGCCGAATTTCTTCAATTCTTCCGCATCCATACATGGAATTCCTGCTGCTTTGGCCTCGTCACAGTGTTGTTCGTCCCCAAGCACACACACAGACATTCTGGGACGTGGAATGTGCTTTAGTCTACAATAAGATCCGACTTGTAATATGCGGCGATCGGCCTCCCCACACAATTTTAGAACCCTGGGTAGGGGTTCATAAACTTACCGCACAGTCCCGGTGAATCTCTTGTCCTTCTGAACGTCATAGTTTTTCAACGCTATTTGTAGCTCAACAGTTTCGGTAAACTTCCGTTTCTTCACTTTGTTGCTGTAATCAATAATATCAGCACATGACCGCAGCAGAAGATCCTTCGGTACCTTACTAAAAGAGAAAAACTTAATTAGCGCAATTTAACATATTAATGTCAGAACTTCTTAGAGGGGAACAATCACTAGTCTTTAGGAAGCTATCATCACCAAAAAAACGTTGCTCACCTCATGACCACGCTCTAACTACTGAATGACGCTGGATACTCAGATCATAAGGCGTTCAAACAAATTTCAACCTTCAACATCTTCACTCATTATAGTCCCACTCAACATAATAACCATCCAAGATTTCATCTATTTATTTCTTCAGTCCTTGTAGTGAGACTTGGAAATGATGAAGAAATCATTTTTGATTGACTTTCACCTGTGATTTGTGAAATACGTTCGGAGCCTCAACTCTCAGTCTTCAAGAGCAAACCTAGGTTCAGCAAAATATCACTGAGCCCTAGCCAAATCATAGGGCATTTGGGTCAGTGAATATCGAAAAGATCATGATAATATTATTGATAGTAATATATTCTCGAATAACAGTTGGTTACATGAGGGATGCCAGTTTCCAGTCAAGATCTGTCTGTTAAATTACCAACCAATCGGATGTATATCCAAAAGGCAACAAGAACGCACATCTGTTTGTAACTTACCCACTTGTATAAGCACGACAAGACTAACTGTCGATCATAAATTCATCTTTCTGCTTAATGGTTATCAACCATCTTTCAGAAACTATCTAATAGAATGTTTTACTTGCTTGACCACTGCCTGCCTAATTTTCAGTTGCTGAAATCCTTGGTCAAACAGAGGATGCGAATGCTAAAAAGTTACTGTGGGTTTGAACCGTAAATTTCCTACAATCCTGGGTCTCTTTTAGACTGCTTGTCAGTTAATGTTTCGTATTTGGCTTAAACTGGTTTTGTGCTTATACAAATACAGTCTACAATACTATGTTAATCCAAGAATTTAATCAACAGTACATCGTATATAATCCAGAGTTGAAATAATGTCTACCTCAAATTCTCATTACTTGGAAGCAAGGGTAACCCAGGGGAGTTTCATACTTGTATTAGATAATTTTGTACCATGTTTTCGGTGCATAATAACGTTTCGTGGTTTCTTTCACACAGAGTAGTCATATATTCCGTCTCTGCCGTCAAATCTTAGTCGAAATCATGCACATTTATCACTTGTTAGCCAACATACTGTGGAAAAATTTATTGTATGTACACGAGCAATCTTAATCCATGTCCTAACTAGACACTTCGTCGTACGTAATATGTCACTTTACGTTAGATAATGAGCTCTTTTCATCAGCCTTTTACGAAATGGTCATGTTAACTGAACCTTCTAGACTTTAGTTACATTGGTAATTACCAATTCTTCCAATGTTCACCATAGGCTTCCCTATTACATGTCAGTCATTTTAATTCCGTTTTCGGTTTATTTACATGCAATACGGGCTTGGAAAACATTTAAACGACATCTGAAGTTCTTCAAGAACCCCACCATATTCTTCATATATATTTTCATTCACACATCCAACTGTTACACTAAAAATACCTGGGTATTCAGTGCAACTGTCTGTATACGTAAAAACGGTGTTATTTCAATGTGACGTTATAACATATCCTAACTATTGTAGTCACTCAACATCGACGTCCTACATCATTTTACGAAGTGGTTTTTCCTAGTAGTTATTATCCAACGAACGATTTCAAACATCAGTTGACTATCCAAACACTCAACGATTTAAAGCTGTCCAGTGCAATTGGTGGTCTAACGATACATTTTTTCGCGCGTACCATCAGTTTACACAGTCGAGCGAATCTCCTATAGATTGAAAACGACATTGTCGTCTCTATCCCGACACTGACAGAGTTTTTACGCCGGTATCACTGATATAAGTCCAGAGTGATACTCTTGGTTTCCTATGTTCTTTTCGTCATTTTTTCGGTCCACTTATCAAACAGACATGGATTATTCACTGTTTATCATCTTTTAGAGACTTCATCGTGCCACCTTTGCTGTCGATTTGCAGTCTTCGACTCCTACTAATTGTAACAGTAGTCGTTGGCCTTTTAAACCCTGACTATAGAATGAACAATAGCTTCACACAACGAAAAATAGATATAACTAGGATTCAACGCTTTAGAACAGGGGCTGTTAACGACACTGTCTGACTTTAAACCAATGGTAGTACAAACATCGTAATCGATCGATAATACACTTATCATACTATCACTCTAGCATCATTATTCTTGCGGCAAACTTAACGTTCCTCATTTAGTGAACTCAATCACTTGTCAAAGCTATCTATTTCAATGAGGCTTGATAGATCTTCGAAACATTGTTTTTCCCATTATTTCTGTGGGTGATCGTCCTAGTAACTTATTATTACTTTCTGTTTCCGGATAAGTTTCTGCTGCCTTTTTCCGAGTTGTCTTGCAGCTCGGCAATACCTGTAAGATTCATACCAGTCGTTTAGCAAACCGCGGCGCGCGACTACCGCCAACATATTTGGTATCGATTCAAACAGCCGTTGAATCTGGCGGGAGAGTGTTGTGGAGTCAGTGGGATGTCACTGAGCCCTAGCCAAATCATCCGGCAATTGGGTCACTGAATATCAAACAGATCATTAGCATAATAATTTATTCTCAAATAACAGGCTGGTACATGAAGCATGCCATTTTACAGGCAAGATCAAATTGTCGCAGAAGATACAGTCTTCGCTGTGGTGGGTTGCTCATTTAGTTTGATATTTTATAAGGTACACTGATTATAAAATTATTGGAGATAACACATTTAGTGTGACGTCGAGTCGCGGTTGACTATAATCACTACAAGAATGTTGCGAACCAGATATAAGAAGGCGACTGGAGGTTGTAGCGAGAAATATTTGTTGGCGATCTCGTGGTATCGAAAGAATACCGAGATCGTGCCGAAAGAGTACAAGCGGAATCACCGAGCAAACGTGAGCGCGTGCAATCACAACTGATCGGTAGACGGGTAATTGTGTAGTGAAGAAGAACACGGGTGAGGACAGCCAAATTGTATTTAGGACAAATTACAGAATTACTTGGTAAAATAGAAAAACCATATAGTAAATCGTTAATTTGCAAAATATCATTCTATCATATCAAACCGGGCTGTTGCTGTTGCAAACATCAATCCATTGTCTCGCATTTCATTGCTCATGCGATTTCTTACAAATTCCATTGTTTTCTCGCTCTTCTTTTCTTGATCTTCTCCATCTTCTGCTGCCAGCCATTACGTTCTTTTGACTCACGTTATATACTACTTATATCAATATAAGTAGCACGCACCACACTCGTCCCCCCTTTTAACAAGTTGCTGTCGTAGTCTTTCTGATCTCCGTACCGCTGTGTTCTTTGGTGCTTTTCGTGATTCACACCCATGATGATCTTGAAACCATCTCTGTAGCTGACTAGCATTTACGCGCTTCTGCTTGTCTTCTCTCCGGATCGTGTAAACCGAGCCGCGTCTCCCCATGATAACATACGGTCCTTCCCACTTTGGGGCCAGCTTCCCCGACCCTGCTCCTAATATCGGTCTCGATAAGCTTGTAGTTACGACGAACGGAAAATTTATCTCCGCATCCCCCACTTTTACGATACTGTTAGATACACCAAACACCTCTAACATATGGCCCCCTATCGTGTGGACAGCTAATGTACACGGCTTGATTCTCTTACATTGCTCTTTGCCTATTAACGATACTGCTGCACCTGTATCGATCAGACAAACTAAATCTCGCTCATTTATGTTCACTCTCGTATATACTGCCCCTCTGTCTACTAACGCAACAATCCCCAGATTCCTAGGATAGAAAGAACACTCGTTGTAACGTCTAACATATCTGCGTCTTCGTCTTGTTGGACAGTTTATCTTCCAATGTCCTGTCCCTCCACAAGCGTAACATTTATCGTTCCTTTTATTGTTCACTCGTATTGCTGCAATCTCGCGCTCCAGCTCCTCAATCTTCTTCTCGACATTACTCATCTCCTGCTTTCCGCACCCGACCGGAGCTACTGTTCGCGTCATCAGCTGACGAGTCACCTTCGCCAGTTCACTGATATCCATCGGTTGCGCTGCGTTCACCAGTTTCAGCTGTTGGGAGACGGTGGCAGGCACACTCTCGATAAACTGTGACGCCAACAACTGTGCATCCGACTCCTCATCCAGACTCGGCAGCGCACGGCGTAACAATCTGGTAAGCTCCACAGCCAGCACCAGTGGGTCCCCATCGACCGGCAACCTCGCCAACCGGAACTTTTGCAGCGCGTCCTCTCTGTCCACTGGGCTGTCAAACTCCGCCGTTAACCGCTCCGTGACTGCCTCCCCATGTGGTCTTCCCGCCAGCACCGTCCAGGCTGTCATACACCGCCTTCGCCCTGCCTCTCAGCAGCGTCCCCAGCACCACCAACTTCGCCTTCGGCTCCTTCACTCCCACCAGCTCCGCCACGGCCTCAAACTCCTTCAGGAAGCTCAGCACATCTCCGTCCTCAAACTCCTTCGGCCATGGGATCTTCATCCTCAGTGGAGGCAGCGACACCAAATGTAGTGAAGAAGAACACGGATGAGGACAGCCAAATTGTATTTAGGACAAATTACAGAATTACTTGGTAAAATAGAAAAACCATATAGTAAATCGTTAATTTGCAAAATATCATTCTATCATATCAAACCGGGCTGTTGCTGTTGCAAACATCAATCCATTGTCTCGCATTTCATTGCTCATGCGATTTCTTACAAATTCCATTGTTTTCTCGCTCTTCTTTTCTTGATCTTCTCCATCTTCTGCTGCCAGCCATTACGTTCTTTTGACTCACGTTATATACTACTTATATCAATATAAGTAGCACGCACCACAATTGTAGGACGAGAGGGTTGGCAGAGCAGGAGGCGATCGTTGATCCTCGAGTTGCCACCGAAGGTCTTTTACGCAGAACGGTACCAGGAGAAACGTGACGTATTTGTTGGTCGAGTTAGTGTACCACACTAGAGTGGTTTGTATCCAGGATCTGAGGATTGCGTTCGCAGTGGTGCGGACCAGAAAACGCTGCAGACATAGGACGGAACCACATTGAGCCAAGAAAACAGAAGCGACCATAACAATCAAGCGCGAGACCAAACATATGCCAGACAAATTCGAAACCAAAATATCGACTGAGTGCGTTGACAAGAGCGTAAGCGATCAG